ATTGCCGTTATTAATCATGTTAAATCTTCCAAATGCCATTTTTGTTCATACCCGAAGTCGAATAAGAGCAAAAAGAGTGTGTTTTTAATAATTATTCTACAACATGTCATGAAGTCAGACCCCAAGATATTTTTTTTGGCATGACGTCTGATCTCAATTTTCAATTTTATAAGGGCAGACGCAGACTTGAAATAATATAAGCGGCACATCGGACAAGCATCACTATCTAACAGTGACCATTGGGCTTGGTAAAAAGGTTAAAAACGTGCCTATTCAAGTCCAACTGGATACAGAAGGGTGTAATAAGTACACAAGAGTGAATATTGCTTGATATTTGTACATTTTCCATTAAAAAAACAGACCAACAGATTTCTATTCCTATCTCATCATATTGCGTCTGCCAATAAAACAAGGAGAAACGAGATCAGAGGTCACCTCAAATTGTTTGTGGGGTCTGAATTAATAACATGAATGTACACTTAAAGGTGCAATACCGTTCTATGGCAATATTGAGGCTTGGGTCACAAAAAATGGTGTTTTGATGAATACATATGATAAATAACGGCAACTAACATATACAAAGTTCACTGACCTATCCAAGGGTATCAGTACGTCAAATATGATGTACCCACATCAGAAAAAACAATGTTTATGGCACAAAGAGTACATTTTAAGACTTGGGTAATGAAAACAATGGCATTTACAATTGTGTAAATCTTATTAATATCCATCGGAAGGCTATGGTTTTGCAAAGGTCATGACCTCTCATAAGGTCACCAGAGGTTAGATATGAAACGGCCTATATATGAAAATTCTCTTTGCAGCATGAACGCCTTTCATTAAAACATGAATCGTGAAAAATGATGGACCGAGTTTAAAGAATAAATTTAACAAATAGCTATAAACAGGTTTACAAAGGTCATTGACCTCTTAAAGGTCACCAGAGGTCGGATATCATTTGTTCTCACATCTGATCATTATTTTTTATCGTATGAAGACCTATCACATGGACTTGGGGCATAAGAAAAAAGAGGTTTTGAAGAACAAAAGTTATGAATAGTGTATGTAAAGTGAATTGAACTCTAAAGGTCACCAGAGGTCAAGTGTGAAATGCTTCTATATCTGAACATTGTCTTCATAGCATGAAGAACCAACATGCGGTGTTTCATGCTTTTATCACAATTTGCACAATCCTTTCGAATGTTGGGGATATGCCGCACCATATATGGGTCTATATATTTTTTTAATTTAATGTCTTCCAGCATGCACCGCTGTGTCTGCCAGGGTCTGTGTTCTCGGCACGGAACCAGACCCAGCCGATGGCGGCAGGATCAAGCTCGTCCTGCCGGCTATAGATCCCTGTACGTGCACGGAAGTCAGACTGGGCGGTCACAACGCCTATGCGCCGCCGAGGCCAGACGGCTCGCTGTACATCGACATCTGTCACCTGAAGGACATCATCGCAAACGGACTTGCCAGGTTCTACAATTGCGTGGCAACGAAGAAAGACGGAGTCTCAACTGATAATCCGAGAGGTGATTTACACTCAATCATTTAATCCTATTGTCCAGAGTTGTAACGAGTCACTGATTTCTGCGACTCGAATCGTGTCGAGTCATTTTAAAGAAGTGACTCAAGTCGAGTCGAGTCATTAGGTGAAAGAGGTCGAGTCGAGTCACAGAGTGTAGTCGAGTCGAGTCGAGTCGAGTCACGTATTTAGCTCGAGTCAATTCGAGTCACAAATACTCAAGTGGCGTACCCAGGATTTGGGATTGGGTGGGGGTTAAAAAAAATTCATTAAAGTTACCTTACATTTTGGCCGAGTTTTTTTCCGGGGGGGGGGAGCTATTTCGAAGGTGGTGGCGCCACTTACACCCCCATTATACTACTAAAAAAAAATATGCCACATACATATCACCATGGTCAAATCGTGGGATTTAAAAATAAATTTAAAAAAAGACAACCTCTTGGGGGGACCTCGAGGCCCCCCCCCCCCCCTCTGGTGCGCCACTGGTTTGGGTATAACCTGTCTTGTTCCGCGTGCTCTTCCGACAAATATGGAAGAAAGTAATTTCACCATGAAATTTCCGATAGACTTTTAAAAAAAAGGGCAGGGTAAAAATGTGTCTGAGCTTAACGGCATTGATCCTTCAATTCAAACTCTGCCAAAATAGATTGAGGCATTCGGATTTAGAGGATATGGGCTGGTCAGGTTTTAAAATTAGCGAGAGGTGGGAATCTAATTGGCCTAGAGAGCGGGCAACAAATCTTCCCGACGAATTAAGATTTCTGAAGTAGGCCTGTTTTACTTAGGCAAACAAAAAAATACTCGGTCTCTGGTAAGCGCGCGCGTCGATTTTAATCATGCTCGTCAGCCTTTTTTTCTCTTCAAATTACACGGAATCTACAACAGCGCCCTCTATTGCTGCACCTCCTCATTTTTTGTACCAAGGAGCACCAAGGAATGAGGAAATTGCACCAAGGCAAATGATAAAGGGCACCAAGGCAAATTATGGAGGACACCAATGTATAATGAGGACACAAAAAAGCAAAATAGTACCCACCTTGTCTGTACAATTCAAGCTTAAAACAAGCCCAAAAAATGTTGCGTCGCCGCATCAATTCCAGAACTTCGGTCTGACCAGAGACCGACTTTTTTGGCCTTACTATCACAATTTTAACGGATATGACAAGAGCGGGGCCTAATTTCACGACCACCTGACGTTGCTTAGCATAAAAAAACCTAGCTTATAAAAGCAGTTTACCAGCCAAAACTCCAGGTGATTTTCATCACATGGAGTTTTGGCTGGTAACCTTCTTTTATAAACCAGACTTTGTTTGTGCTAAGCACTTTTTTTTGCTTAGCAGCGCTGTAAAATTGGCCCCTGCAGGTCCCCAAAGCATATCTTTAACTTTTTGTTTAAATCATGAAGAGTGTAGTTGAAGCGCATTCTGCTGAAAGGGTCACCAACATTCAGCTGCTTCGTGTGATTTTCCTGAACAGTGTTGACGCAAGAGGTGACCACAGTTGTTCTCAAATCGAACCCTAAAAACACCACGGATGTCACCGGGTCGACTCCTGAAGTCTCCAAGGATACCCCAGAACCAACTCCCAGCGGCACCACAAATGCCAAAGGGTCGACTTCCTCGGGATCGACATTCGTCGTATCGACTCCTGCCGACGAGGCACCAGTTGTCAGCACCATCCCTGAGCCGACAGAACCTCCTGCAGATTGTCAAGAGATCTATGATGATGGTCAGACAACTAGCGGTGTGTATACCATCCTTCACGAAGACCAGGATATGCAGGTCTACTGCCGCATGGATTCAGGGAAAGGATACATAGTGAGTATATATTTCCATATTTTCTCATGAGAACAACAAGATTTGAGAGTTTGTTTCCGGTTTAGCTCATAAAGGTGTATAAAATGAAAAAAAATCCTGAGGCAAACCTGTCAACTTCCAGTACGGAGCAATGTGACTACTGATACTGTTAATTGCTGAACCACTAGCATTTTACAAACGCGCTTGAGTATGAGAAGCTGCACCATGCATCTGCAAATGTTTGCATCTGTCTTTATTCCTTCTTTTCATTTAACAAGTATATATCTGCGATTCTAGCAAAGACAATTATTTGTGGGTTTTCCAGCTCCATTTGCTGCACCCAAAATAAAATAAAAGCTTGCCACAGACAATCACTGATTAATTTGTTTTGCAAGTTGATGTCTGATATGTCGGTAATTTTTTTTTTAACACTGTTCCCAAAATCCTTTAAAAAAGTGTTGGATTCGCTATTGTATCCCAAACAAACATTGAAACCTAACGAGGATATTAAAGCGAGATGGAAAACGTGTCACTGTTGTACTGTCAATCATATTGTTTCTGACAGGTGTTTCAGAGACGCCTGGACGGCTCGGAGAGCTTCAACCGAACCTGGCAGGAGTACGCCGAGGGATTCGGGAATCTGACCGGAGAGTTCTGGCTGGGCAACCAGAAGCTGAATAGTCTGACTCGTAACGAGGGGTGGGAGCTGGTCATCACTCTGAGGGCGTTCGATGGGGATGAAGCCCGTGTTCGTTATGAGAAATTCGGATTACATTGGTACAATTACTGGCTTAGCGTCAGTGGCTTCACTAATGAGGCTGGAGATGCAGGTACATAATACCTCGGTTTTTGTTTTTAGTGTCCTTTCCTGTAGAACCTCTTCTATCACCCAGCATGGTTTAAACTAAGCTGCTCATCGAATTCTAATCATCAACAACCAAAAAAGAGCGGAAAATCCCCATTTACTTTATTTTTTGTTAATCTGCAGGCGATAGTCTATTTCTGCCTTCATCCCGAATTAATGCTCTATTCGGCCCCTTGTCTATTAATCGAACACAAATAAATAGCGTACAATGAAATATGTCTAAAATCAGTAGTGTAGGGGAGATTCACGAGAATATCATCAAAATGTCCGGCCGATGGAAACTTATTAAGTGGGCTGAATGTACCGTTGTAACTAATTTTGTTTGATGACCATGCATCATTTCAAGTTTGAACAAATTCATTTAACCATGTTTGAAAAAAAAAGAAAAAGGAGATTATATATGTCTAAAAAAGTGAATACAAATTTGGAAATCAGTTGAAACGTAGTGTGTCAGTGTACGTGACTTTGTAAACACTGCCTTATGGTACCGGAGCAATGGGAGGTATCCCACAAGGAATGCCCTTCGACTTGCGGCGTACCGTCCTGGTACCCCACAAGTTCTTTCACGAAATAGATATATGGGTTTTACGCAAAAACTAGGAATTTTCAAGGTGGGTTGATCCGTCGCAAACGGAAGAGTTTTAGAAAAGGGATTTTAAGTCCAAATTTCATCCCAGGAAATTAATTCTGGTTAAAATAAGAGCATTTTGAAATTAGTGTGCGACATTGCACAATTTTTGTACACGAGAACAAAGGACTTCTATGCCTGTGTAAGCGTGGGTGAACATATCCACGCGCACATTAGTCATCCATTACCTAAGCTATACAGGTCTGACGATCTTCCTTTATTATGCACACAGGTGATTCACTCGGGCGTCAAAAATTTAGCCGGTTCTTAACTCGAGATAAAGACCAAAACAACGACAGGGAAAACTGCGCTGAGAAGTTCCACGGAGGCTGGTGGTACGACGGCTGCGGTAGCGACATCAATGATCGGTTCCAGAGCAACCTGAACGGCTTGTACTACAACAACGCAACAGTTGGTGATTACATGGGAATACAGTGGACCACCTGGAAGGGTAAACAGGTCTCTCTCAAAGGATCGGAAATGATGACGCGACCCAAAATGTAAGCGTAACCGGTGACAGAGAGGATCCTTAACGAGACAGCAGTGCAATAAGGGGGTATTATAACGGGGGCCTAGAATTAAGCTTGGAGTGCTTTAAATTCAGACTGTTTACTTCGTATAACGTTTTGGTGGAAAAAAAGTCTGAAAAGTGGAAAGGGTAGATCTGCAATTGATCAGCAATGTGCGGTACTTTATTTCGTGCAGTATATTTCTTGATTTTGTGAACGAAAATTATGATTGTTGTGATAATTTTTAGGACAAGTAGATTCAGTGTATTTGATGTCTTAGCAGCATGATATCAGTTGTCAATTTTAACCCCAAGATAACTTGGTGGAATCTGTTCCCTTTTTAATTTTTGTGTATTACAGCACCACACTATTTTCTTTCGTTGTATCCAGCGATTATCCGATAACTGAACCGCCTGCAGATTGTCAAGAGATCTTGGATGCTGGTCAGAACACTAGCGGTGTGTATACCATCCAGCACGCACGCCAGAATATGCAGGTCTACTGCCGCATGGAGCCGGAGTCGGGGAAAGGATACATAGTGAGTAAAGTTATACCCTTTTCCCACTACCGAATCTCCGGGTTATCTTGGGGGTAACGGCGAACCTAAACCCCGAGATCCCCCGGGGCGGCGCGAGCGTTTCCACTGCTCTTTTTCTGTCCCGGGTTAAGACAAAATAATCGGTCGTTACTTCGGGGTTCGTAAACCCTGCCAGCAACCAGGGTTTATGAGTGAAGTCTCGGAGTTAACGGCCGAACCCCAGGCTACGCATTGTAGTGGGAAAACGCAGACATCCTCCTCAGGGTTTAAATAAAGTCCAAATTTTGCCGTTTTCTAAAATCAATTTGCGTTTTCTTAAATTTGGAAATTCCGTTTTCTTCGGGTTTCTTAAAAACAACAACACCACGATCACACACAACACTCACTTGAAGTTTCGATCTAGAGATGTCACCGCACGCAGTACGCACGTACGAGGTAGCCTGGCCCGTTGGCAGTGGGGCATACAGAAAATCGTGCATAAATACATACACGTACATACATTATCCATGGCATACAATGCAATGTCGGTTTTGAGTTGCGTAATTCATGGCGGACGGCTTGCCTGTGCACCAATCCGGGACCACTGTGTACGCGGTGAGAGCTGAGCAGGTCGTTTAGCAGTTGTGATAAAATGCAGGCGATGTGACACGAACTCAGCTGGTTCCCAAATACATCTACGAATCCCCGAAGTACTGCCAAGTTACCAGTGATGCTGATGGCGCAGCACGTTGTACAAGTCGTCACCGTTTTCACGAACAGCCACATACTATATTTTTTATGTTGATTTTGAAAAAAAGTGTTTTCGAGATAATCGCATTCTCATATTTTAAAACTGCAAGAAATACAACTTTGCAACAACTTTGTGCAGCAAGGAAACCATCACACAATTCTACGAGAGCTGAATTTTTACACGAACCCGGTAATAAGGCTTAATACAGCAGTTAATTCGTTAAATTAATTAGTAAAGATATGTAGCTCTTCGTGAAAACGCAAATTCAGGTTTCCGACATATTGGCCCTTTCTGTTCAACGTGTATTTCCATAGGCGCGCGTCAATTTCAGTCACAAATATTTGAGCACTATACAATAATTAAACACAAAAGAGAAAGTCATTTTTTGGCTTTTTTTAAATTTTACATTCGTGCTACTACATGTGGCGACACCACATTTGACTCTTAATGAAAATAAAAAGGGGGTGCCAGCTGATCGTCATTCAACTTAAGTCCGGTTCATACTCTGCGCGAAAGCGAAAGCGAACGCGAATTTGTGACGTCATGGCAAGTATTCGCGCTGCGAATTCGTAAAAGTTAAACATATTTCAACTCGGGCGAATTTCGCAGCGAATGTTTTATGACGTCAAATTCGCTTCGCATTCGCTTTCGCATGAAGTATAAACCGGGCTTAATGGGGACACTGATCAAACCACGTATGTATAATGTATACATTATTCGCGAACATTCTAACGTGACGTGAACAAAAACAAATATTTTTCGCAAATATTTTTTCGCAAAGTTTTGCTTTTATTTTTGGGACTCGAGTCTCACTAGCCTTCATCGAGTCGAGTCGAGTCATTCTGATGAGGGACTCGAGTCGAGTCGAGTCATTTACTCGCAGTGACTCGAGTCGAGTCGAGTCATGTGCCCTTATAAGGACTCGAGTCGAGTTGAGTCACCAAAAATCGTGACTCGAGTCGGACTCGAGTCGAGTCATTGACTTGAGTCATTACAACTCTGCATTTGTAGTAGTAAGTCCGTGCATACGGGTACCGTTAAATATTGAACCAGTAATTGTTAGAGTAACAAAATCACCCGGAGATTGGAAATTTGCACCATACAAACTGCATGTATACTTGTCCGTTGCATCTGCAAAGTCCTATATGTTGTGCAAAACTGCGTTTCTATTGAAATGAGTTATATGGGCTCCCAAACTCCATATTCTCTCCAGCGGCATTTACAAATATTTCTAAAACATTTTGCTAAAGATATTTTCTCAAATGTCTATAATTATATTTAAACTGTTCTGGAACAAATTAGGTCTCTCGTCGTATACATATGTTTTGAACTGTGCTTTGCAAAACGTTTAATTAACTTTAATCCCAACGAGTCTATAACGTATTGCTTGGAAAGTGGGTCCAGTATTCGTGTGTTTGATTATAAATTATAAATCGTTTCTGACAGGTGTTTCAGAGACGCCTGGACGGCTCGGTGAGCTTCGACCGAACCTGGCAGGAGTACGCCGAGGGATTTGGGAATCTGACCGGAGAGTTCTGGCTGGGCAACCAGAAGCTGCGTACTCTGACTCGTAACTGGGGATGGGAGCTGGTCATCACTCTGAAGGCGTTCGATGGGAAAGAGGCCCGTGTTCGTTATGAGGAATTCGAATTACGTCCGTACAATTACTGGCTTATCGTCAGTGACTTCACTAATGAGCTTGGAGATGCAGGTACATAATACCTCGGTTTTTGTTTTGAGTATCCTTTCCTGTAGAACCTCTACTATCGCCCAGCATGGTTTAAACTTTGCTGCTCATCTATTGTAAGCCCGTATTCGTTATGGGGTCGTCAAAGTTGACTCATCTGAGAACAATTACAAGCTTCGTGTCAATTACATCAGTGGTGATGCAGGTACATTATACCCAAGTATCGCAATGCATGTCTTGCACATTTTTTTAACGAGATAATTCAGGTTTACCGAGCTGCTCTCATCTAATCACTCAAAAATGAGCCAGTTACCTTATTTACTGCGGTTTGTTTTAATCTGCAGGCAATATTCCATTCCTTCCGCCATCCCCAATGAACGGTTGATTCGGCTACACATCGTTAATCAAACACACCAAGTAATACACAATGGAAATGCATTTTTCTTAATAGGGAGGTTTACGGGAAAATCCTCAAAACTTCAACTCGTAAAGCGGATGAAGCATGGGCGTCGCGAGGGGGGAAAAGCAAAAAAAAAAAAAAAAAAGGGGGGGAAGAGAAAAAAGGAAAAAAAGAGGCACGAAGTCATAGTGGTGTAAATTTAATGGGGGGGGGGGCAAAATGTCCCTGCCCCCCCCCCCCCCCTCTAAAACTGATCAATCTAGAATGTATTGAGAAATACAGGCATTTTGGGGAAAAATATGTTTTGCCCCCTCTAGAAAAAATCCTGGCGACGCCCATGGGATGAAGACACGGTTGAAAATGTTGAATAGATTGTGTAATGGCAATACAGCACTTTCATCAGTAATGTCAGCATGAATAGATGCAGAGGACCAGGTCTAAAACAAATCAGGAGACTATTCGAAAAGAGAGAGAAATCCGTTGAAATGTCACTATACAAGAATAGTCCTTGCAATTGTCTATGCACATTGGTCATTCATTAATGTGCGTATACAAGGTCTGACGATCCTTACTTTCTAATGCGCACAGGTGATTCACTCGGGAGTCAACGTCGCCAGGACTTCTCAACTCCAGATAAAGACAATGACAACACCGACGGGGAAAACTGCGCTGAGAAATTCCACGGAGGCTGGTGGTACGACTGCTGCGGTAGTGACATCAGCGACTACTTCACTAGCAACCTGAACGGCTTGTACTACAACAACGCAGCAGTCGATGATTACATGGGCATACAGTGGGTCACCTGGAAGGGTAAAAGTGTCTCTCTTAAAGGGTGTGAAATGATGACACGACGCAAATGGTACACGTAACTTGTAATAGAAAGGATCCATGGGACAACAGTAGAACGAGGGTGGTAAGATGCCGGCACAGACCAAAGCTTGGAGTATTTTTGATCGATAAGGTTTTGATTGCTAAGCACTTTGTATAAGGTTTTGGTGCCAACAAAGTTTGAAATTACGTGAAGTGGAGAGGTAGGAAGAAAGCTGGTTTGAAAAAAAAAATCTACATAAAAAAATAATTATTACCAGTATCAGAAAAAGGGGCTGATCAATTCTCCTTCTACTTATTCAAAACAAAATTAATTAACGATGATCCTGTCCATGCGCCATGCTGTTCTTGAGTTCACCCTGAATGAATTTATTTGGGTTTTTTTTTTGGGGGGGGGGGGGGGGGGGCTTTATGCTCTTATTTTTTTGGTAAAATTTTTAGAAACGATAATGTGACTAGGTACAAAGCTACTCGCAAATAAGACCCTTTTGCCGTAAAATTCAAACATTCGAAAATTAATCAGAAGAACAAAAACGATCTGTTAGAGCGCAGAGAGTATGTCTAACCTTGATGGGAAATCAACGTTTCAATTGGTACGGAACTGCTACGTAGCTGATACAAGTACAAATCGAGTTTTCTCTGTTTAACGAACTCTGATCGAACCGTTAACGTACACTGTTGAAAATGCCCGTAAATTTACGGACTCCGTAAAGTGAAATATTCCGTTTTTTTCTCCGTAATTTTACGGACTTTCCGTAAATGCAAATATTAATTATGCTAATCAGCGTAATTACAATTAACCACATCGGCCCAAACACCTACACGTAATATAGTACAGTGTCACAACCCATATTAAGGGTCTGTTTATTTTACGGAATGAAAAAAAAATGTTCCGGAAATTTTGCTGCAGGAAAACGGAACGCTATTTTCTTGCTGGTAGCAAAATGTTCGGAAAAGTTATTTCATTCCATTAAATAAACAGACTCTTAACATGAGTTTGGACATGTGTACACGGTTGGGGGTGAAATAACAATATGTACTTATATGTACTATATTATGTGTACACTCTAAAAAACAGTTGCTCAATATTGGGTAAAATTACTACCTTTTCGAGAGTAAAAAGGGAACATGGTCGTCAACTTGTGTACTTTTTTTTACACAACAGCTTAAGTGTAGAAAAGTACCCATTTCTGTGTAACTTTTACCCATAATTGTGTTACGTGTTTGCACAACAAAGTTGGGTAAGAAAGTTTACCCATGTGACGACCATGTTCCCTTTTTACTCAATTGTTGGGTAAACTTTACCCAACCCTCCTTTTACCCAAGTGTTGAGTCAGTTTCTTACCCAGATATTGGGTTCTAATTTTTACCCTGCATTGTTGGGTTCTAAATTTACCCATCACTTGGGTTGTTTTTAAATTAGTTGTTGTGTACCTTTGTTATTGACCCTTGCGGTTTTATTCAACTTTGAACTCTGCAATGTGAATGGCATGCTAGAGACAGCAATCTCGAGGGATTTCAATAACTGAGTCCTGGGTTGGAAAGTCAGTAAAATGAATAAGATGATATTTCCCCAAATATGGTGCTGATGCATGAGGACTATTACGAGGAACGTGGGCTATGTGATGGGCAGGGGTGTTAGAATTTCCCTCAATCAACTCATTCAAAAACAATTCCCCAAATGTCGGTCACTTTACTCGGTGTTTCTAGATATGAGAACACTCACTATACGGTACATGAAACGCATGCATCATGTGCATGGAATCGTGGTTGGCAGAGCCGTGACGGCCAAGTTGCAAATAATGTCTAAATAATAAGCATGTCACTTCTCCAATCTCTCCGGTATTAATCCTCATACATCAGCATCCCATTTGGAGGAAACAACACTGAAATTCATTTCACTGACCTACCTGGAACAAAGAAATCACGTCTTCAAAATCCCCAAATTGTTGAAGGTCTCAAAAGCGGCGGCCATCTTGTACATGAGTGATGACGCGTGCACAATATTGAGTAAACGTTGTCACGTGCGTCAGTTTACTCCGCACCGTGGTAACATTTTACTAATGTCGTGGTAAATTCTACTCTTCGACGTGAACAATGAAAGAATTGTTACACAGAGATGGGGTAAATCCAGTTTCTTTTACCCATCACTTGGGTAATAATACCATGATTTTAACTTTTTGCCTGTGCTGCTAGGACTTGTAGTCAATGTTGGGTACTATTTTACCCTTTTCATGTGTAACATTTTGACACAAGTAGGAGGTACAAGCGAAATTTTCATTTTGCTCAATATTGAGTAGAAATGACACAATTTTTTTACCCAACAGTTTTACACAACATAAATTTACACTTCTTTTTTAGAGTGTAGGTGTTTTGGCCGATGTGGTTGATTGTAATCACCTTAATTAGCATAATTAATATTTGCATTTTCCGTAAGTCTGTAAAATTAAGGAGAAAATACGGAATATTTCACTTTACGGAGTCCGTAAATTTACGGACATTTTTAACAGTGTAGTTTTAACCACCGTGGTTACCCATTACATTAACCACGAATAATAAACAAGTAGCCTTTTCGTGCGCCGAGCAATCGCGAGCGACTGGTTTAACAGTATTCCATAAAGAAAATTGAGGACAAAATCTACACGGCAATAATTATTTCACAATCGGAAAGAGGACTATTGCTGGCGCTATTTCGACTTTTTTTTTTAGTAAGGGTCACCGTTAGCAAACGTATTTAAACGTTCGAAGTGCTTAATGCAAAATGCCTTATAAGTGTCGGGATTTCGTTTCAATGTTACGGGAATTATTAATTCGTTTTTTATTTTTCATCCAGAGAAAGCCCTCGAAATTTTTGATGATTTGCCCTCTGATTTTCAGACGGAGATGTTGATATAATTATAGGGTCAGATTTGGAGGAAAGACAAAGCAATGTTGAAATCACACTTTGGACGATCAACTTTGTACAGATTTGTATTATTTTATATCTGGTTGCGATACCATTTTTTTTCCTTTATAAAATGTCCCTGTGAAATTATTACGAATAAACAATGAAAGTCAATTATTTTTTTTATTTTTTTTGTGAACTGTTTTCGAAAGTGCAGAAACGTGACAAAGATTTATGATGTTACTAGTATGCGAATTTGCTTATTCAATTCAAAGCCGATCGCTACATGAGATCAATGTACCGAAATTAGGACGACTTAGGATGCAACGAAATGTGAATTGTACTGCATCCTAAATGAAATATGATGGCTTTTTGAAATTGAAATTGAGAATTAAGCTGAAAGATGTTCATACGGTAAAATCTAATTGTGGAAGGGGGATGGGGGCTGGACACCACACGACAAGAAGGGGCGCTGTTCATAATACAATATACATCTAATGCAAACTTGCCCTCATAGGCCCACTTAAACACTTAAAAGTAAAGTAAAGTCTGTCCCGAGCCAATGTGGCTCATCAGGCCGGCGTTTATCTCCGGTTTCCTTGGCATGAAACGACTGAGAATATTTCTACTCCCCCTGGATGGGATGCCAGTCCATCGCAGGTTACTCCCCAGCTAATGCTGGTGCCCATTTATACTCCTGGGTGGAGAGGGGCAAGTGGGGGTGAAGTGCCTTGCCCAAGGACACAATGTATGGCCAGCGGCTGGATTCGAACCCCGGACCCTCTGATCATGAGTCACTCCCCTTGACCATATAAACACTTAACCATACACAAAAGAAACAGTTTACTGAAAGCATTATGTGCTGATATTTCTCCCTTTTTCGAATATATTGAATACATTTAAACCGGTTCACTGATCCAATGATCCATCCCCCACCTCGTCCAAAAATGGGGGGGGGGGATATATCCTCTCAAGCCCCCCCCCCCCCCCCCCCCGCTCGGGATTACGCCTAAAGTTAAGTAAGAAATATTTAAAGAGCATGAAGCTCATGTTAAACTTTGTAGCAATTTGACAAAATAATGTTACTCGATTGTGTGTAAATTGTGATTTTGGTGATTTCAGTGCATAGATTCACTGTATTGCCATGTTTTAATAGCAAAATACCAATTATCAACATTAACCCGAAGAGAGCTTGACGGATCTATCAGCTGTTCATTTTATTTCAGAGTGCATTTCCACATTTCAAGCAATACTAGTTTTAAGCCTTGCGAATGGCTAAGCACTTTTTAAAATTTGGTCACATTGTTCTAGCAAAGTGTCAAATTGTCGACGCAGCCCGAGTGCCGCTTATAGGTGAAGTCAGTAACCTCACATTGAAGAAAAAAAATTACAATACAAATAACAGAATATCATTTTGATTGAGGTAGAACATGAGGAACGTTATAGTTAAAAACATGTTTTACTTCTTTTCTATCATTGAATTTTACTGAAATCTGCAATTGCACAGCTGAAATCTGCATCTGAAACAGAATACTCGCCCCAACTGCTCTTTTAGGATTAAATTGCGCAGGATAGTTTTATCAGTGTCACTATATTATAATATGAAGTTGATCATTCGATATGAAATCAATATTTTGCTGTTCGTATTGACATACATCGTAGTTTAGTTTATTTACATTATAATTTTGTCATGTGTAGTGGACCGTCGTTTGGTGGTGATTTGGACAAAATAAAGTTGGCTTGTGATTTCAAATCCCAAAATTCTACATTTTCCCAATGTGTGCAAGAATATAAGTCTCTCGAAGGGAACTCTTTATTGATAATGATAATGATAATGATATACAAGTCATGCCTTTGACATTCTTCAAATAAACGAATATTTGGCTGACGGTCACCATACACATGAGACAGTGCGTGTATCATTTTGAAAAAAAAGGTTGTAGGTTATTAATCAGTAATAACGCTTATATGGTCATTTGATGTTGTGACAGTGCGTGTATCATTTTGATAAGGTTGTAGGTTAGTAATCAGTTACAACGCTTATATGGTTATTTGATGTTGTGACAGTGCGTGTATCATTTTGAAAAAGGTTGTAGGTTATTAAACAGTTATAACGCTTATATGGTTATTTGATGTTGTGATAGTGCGTGAATCATTTTGAAAAAGTTGTAGGTTATTAATCAGTAATAACGCTTAAACGGTTATTTGATGTTGTGACAGTGCGTGTATCATTTTGAAAAAGGTTGTAGGTTAGTAATCAGTAATAACGCTTAAACAGTTATTTGATGTAATTTGTGAGTAACAGTAGTAATGCTACTTTAACATACATTGTGTTTAATGTTTTAACG